TTAGGGATCAAGCTCGCCCCTTCGACAGCCTACCACCCACAGACTGATGGCCAGACGGAGCGTGTCAACCAGGAAATAGAAACCTACCTCCGGGTGTTCGTCAACCACAGGCAAGATGACTGGGCTGACTGGCTACCGCTTGCTGAGTTCGCCTATAACAACCGCATCCACTCCTCCACCCACCACACCCCCTTCAAGCTTGACTCTGGGCAACATCCATGCATGGGGACCGAACTGACCCGCATGTCTGAAGTCGAAGGGGCCAATGACTTTGCCTCTCGGATGATGAAGATGCAAGAGGAGGCAAAGGCAGCACTGGAGCACACAGCAGAAGAGATGGCACGGTACTATGACAGGAACCGGAAGGCAGCACCAGTCTACCAAGTTGGGGACAAAGTCTGGCTCAACACTCAAAACTACATGACAGACCAACCAACCAAGAAGCTTGACCACAGGTGGATCGGCCCCTTCCAGATCGTCAAGGTGGTATCCCCAGCAGCAGTAAAGCTACAGCTTACGGCCCGTCAAAGAGGAATTCACCCAGTAGTCTCGGTCTCAAACACCCACCCCTATGCCCCAGACAGAATCTCCGAACGCCATGCAGACCTGCTCCCTGGCCCAGACATCGTGAATGGAGAAGAGTATGAAGTGGAGAAAATCCTGGATTCCAGGTACCGGTATGGACGGCTCTGGTACTTCGTCAAATTCTCCAGCTGGCCAAACTGAGAAAATGAATGGCTCCCCAGAGAGAACCTGGAGAACTCCCCAGACCTCCTGAAAGAATTCCACCAGGCCCACCCAGAAGCCCCCAGACCAACGAGGATAAAGGAAACCCCCCAACCACGGACCACAGCCACTTCGAGGCGAAGTGGCATAGAGGGGGGGTGATGTCAGGGATCGGCCCCTGACCCCGCTGTCAGGGCACCCAACCACACCCCAGAACCACCCTCCCAGACTTCCCCCTCTTTCCTGACCTCCCCATCCCTACATATCTCTCACAACTTCAGCCCGCATGTGAGCCTGCAGGAAAAATCACGTGGGTCAAGGCGAGCAACTCGCCTTAACCCATGTGACACCTTTTCCGAGTCGCGGGAACATGCTCGGCTTCTACCCAGAGTCACATTACAAACTGTACAGTACACTTCCCTTTTATAGTAGCCAAGCGGGGAATAGGGAAACTTACCCTTCTTCTCAACTCAGTCCCCACTTAGGCAAGTTGTAGTTACCCTCTGTAATACATGACAACTCAGTCCCTGCTTAGTCCCTTCAGTGAGTTTGAGGAGCTGAGGACAGGGTCTAGTGCCCAGGCACCCGGAACACTGCACACACCTAGGGCCGAGGTCAGGCTGTCCCTGATCAAGGACCGAGCCCTGACAGTTTCCCTCCTGCCTATTTATATCCTGTAAATACTTTCGGGGACCTCAGTCTGAAATCAACTAGAGTACCCCCCTGTCTGGTCTGAGTCCCTCCTTCTGCAAAGGGGCTTCCCCCCTTCTGAGTCCGTGCTCCTCCTACAGGCCCGCTCCACCCGCAAGTCTTGTTAGAAGTTTGCTGTAAGTGTCAGTCTGTAAATATGGGATCTCCCCCAGACGTCAAGCTCAGGGCACAGCACTCCACTTGAGTCGCTGAGGCCGCGATCCCACTCTGCTAACTCTGAACAGCGCTTCCGGACACACCGCATATTTCTGCCTGCATATCTGTGTGTGTGCACTCCAACAGACTTCTGCCAACACCTCTGACCTCGACTCGGACAGAAACCAACCCATCTTCTGACAGTCTTCTGACAGTATTCCCGACTCTAACAGGAACCCAAATCAACAGACTTACTGTGTGTCCTATCGCATGCCAGTAGCAAAAATGCATCTGGCCAGATCTGAAGAGATCCTGAGGTACATCTTGAAAATGTGTTTGATACTTGTCTGGCTGGAATGTGTAGTCATGGCTCAAGTCATGACCTGCTTGAACCATATGTGTCAGGGACTCATCTGGGGTCGAGGAGGCCCAGTGTCAGGGACGTGTCCGGGGTCGAGAGGGCCCGGGGGTAATGTCCGGCGCTGAGGCCGTTGCGGGGTGTGGAGTGGGCATGCGTACTGGTGGGCCCGATCCAGGACAATGGTCCCTGGCCACTCAGACTGAAGTGGAGAATGTGTTATTATTATTAAAGGGGAAAACTATACTACTTACCTGAAGTGGAGAATGTGAGAAGAAGGTTACTTCTTCGGTTCCCACTTCAGGTACATTTATGTACATGTGGCTTGAGTCACATGACGAGTGCCACGTCATCCTTGGAGACAGCCTGTCAGGGCCCGGCCTCGGACTCGGAGGCTCCCTGACCTCAACCCCCATCTGGCCTGTCCTCACACTATGCAGGGCATGAGATGTATAGTAAAAGAAAGGGAATATATACACTTGCCTATGCGGGGCATGAGATGAGAAGAAGGGTAAAGGTCTCATCTCCCCGCATGGTTGCTATATAAAGGAATGGGTCACATGCCCACAACTGTACAGCTCCTAGAGTTGTGTAGTGTGACCCGGAGGGAACATCCAGGTGGCAGTGCCCAGTAAGTGTGGGAACGTTCTGGGCGAGTTGCTCGCCCAGAACTGTGGCTGTGACCCATGGGAACATTCTGGGCGAGCTGCTCGCTCAGAAAGTTCCCGCGCTATCCCGTGCGCGCGTGTACACAACACACAAAGGCAACAACAAGGCAACAGTCAAAGAATAAAAGGGGGTAAAGTAGGTGGGGAGTCCGGGGCACCCTAAGGCAGGGTGCTGAACCCTGACACAGCCGCAGGCATCCGGGTGTCCCCATGGGGGATCCTGAGAGCGTCCGCTGCATGCACACGTGCTGGGCACAGCGGGAAGCCGTCTGGGGTGTGTGGGCCGGATGGGTCAATAGTACATCGATACAAAGGAAGATGGTCCGTGTAGATAGAAGGAAATAAACAGGAAGAGGAAGATGAGAAGAATGAAATAAAGAAAGGAGAAGGAAGAGGGAAAAGAAAGGGGGAGAGAGGGAGGGAGGAGGAGGGAGAGGGATGGACAGCGGGGAGCGGGTGTGGTGTGGCTGGGTGGGTCCGGGTGGACCCGGGTCAGGCGGGTGTGCCCTGACACCCAGGTGTAGCACCTGGCACTGAGAGCCTGGCAGGGTGCAGATCGGAGAACTGGGCGAGGGCTGACGATTCTGGAGGGGAACCGGAGACTTAGGAAGGAGGGACACCTTGGCCTCAGCGACTCAAGCAGAGCACTGTGCCATTGCTGTTTGTCCATTTGGTCCTTAATTTCAGAGGTGGTGAGCAGGAAGTCTCTAGGGGGCATTTCAGGTCGATTTTAGACTAAGGGCCTAAAACGAGTATGTACAAGTGCCGGTATATAATGGAGAGGGCAAAAGCACAAGGAAACAAGGAGGATCTGAATCAGAACAAAGGCGTCCAAACAGGACAAAGGGAAGAAGAAAGTGGAGCGGTACCGAAGGTCATAGGTCAGAACCCATGGTCCATCCGAAAGGAGATAGGGGGGGTGAAGCCCAGAGGGGCAGGAGGATGAGGTGAAGTGGGATGATGACTAACTGGCTAGAATGGGAAGAAGCAGCAGTCCAAATAAGGATGAGGGGAAAATGCGAAAGATACATTACAGGCAGCGAAAGTGCTGAGTATGATCTGTGGAGCTCAGAGGTTACAGAGGTCATGGAGGTTATGGAGGTTACGGAGTTGGCAATGGTGTTTACGTAGTATGAGGTCACCAATGCAATGGACTTAAGCTGAGGTGGAGTCAAAGTCTGAGGTCGGAACTATGACGGAAATCTCGGAGCGAAGGTACAAGTGGTGTCCAAGTACAGGGTAAGGGACAGCAGCAGAAGGTTGTAACTTGGTGGAGGGTTGGCGGGAGAGGGTCAGAGGAAGGAGAGAGAAGAGAGGAACAGGGAGAGGAGTGGAGGAGAGGAAAGGTGTCAGGTCTGAAGGTGAGTATCAGAGCGGACAGGAGAAGGGTAGGAGAGTGATGGAAGGGTGGAAGTGTCGTGAGGAGTAAGAGGAGGAGTAAGAGGAGGAGGGTGGTGAGAGGAGTGATGTTTGGTCCGAGGTGAGTATTGGAGTGGATGGAGATAGGGTAGGAGAAGGACGGAAGGGTGGAGGTGGCATGAGGGGTAAGAGGAGGAGTGGTGTCAGGTCCGAAGGTGAATATCGGAATGGACGGCAGTAGGGTAGGACTCCAGAGGTGGTGAAGATGGGGGTCTGGGAGTCGGATTGGGATCGGGTATGTATGGATATGACATCTACCCTGGATGCATCCCTGACAGATGCATGCTGTGCATGCTTTCTTCACAGCATGCATCACTTTATTCTTTGTTTATTCCTCTTTATTCTTGTTGTATACAATGTAAAACAACTGTATTTAAATATGTATGGCTCGGGCTTGGGTAAAGGGTTCTGCACTCTTTACCCTCAACCCACTTGTCAAATCATAAGCTCAATACAGCCTAGATCTCGACAGCCAGAGGACTGAGGAGTCACCCAAGTCGGAACCCCAACTGACCTTACAGTGCAGCTGTGGGGGAGTCAGCCAAGCACACAGGAGCCTAGGGGCAAGTGGGGGGTGAGCAGGGGAGTTATCAGGGAGGATAGGGGTGAACAACATGCATGGCACCAGACTCAGAGTTGGGCCAGAGTTAGATTTTCAATACCAATCTTTTGATATCCTATACACCCCAAATGAATTGATTCACAACTTGAGCTCAAACACTGAAACTCAGGGCACAACTTTCTTTCCTCAATAACTCAGTAACCATGGCAGCTATTCACTTGCATCTTGTAGAGGAGATCCATACAGCCTTTGGACACTCATTTATATTTCATAATATTAAGAACTGGAAAGTACTTGGCCAATGGCATGATAGGGTATGACTAGGGCATGACTGTGAATTGGCCATAACTCCTAAACCATTTACCGGACTTCCATAAGGTGTGATTTTTCTCTTTTTTATGATACCAAAAAATCGCCATGGCACAAGTATTATGATTCATAATACCTACTGTGATTAGATAGATAGGTGATGGAACCCTGACACTATTTTCCCCTATAATGTGGGGCCACAACTGACCCCCTGTCTCACAGTGACAAAACATCCAGTCCATAAAGCATTTCCTCACGGTGGCAGATCTGCACAAACCCCACTGGGAACTCATGTTTAACAAACCCCAAATACATACATTTGTATTGCAAAAGTTCCAGCAAAAGAAAAAGATGTGCAGGACCACAACAACTTGGTGGGGATCACTGTTAAGAATAAATATTTGAAGGGCTTCTGATATTTCACACTTCAGGGTCGCCTTCATGGCAGTTTTTGATGCGTGAAAATTCTTTGAGGAATTGGGAACAAGAGTCCGGTCCTCGCTGTGCACAATAACGCTTCAATGATTTGGTCATTTCGGAAAAGCGTGGCTGATCCCCAATGAACTCCGTGGCCATGGTTGCCAATGAGAAAAGGTTGGCAATGTCTGGGGAGTGGATGGGCTGTCCGTGCGGAGCCGATATGGCACGCGCCGCATTCGACACCATGGCCATCAAGGACACTTTGAAGGCAGAATTCCAGGCTTCTTCGCTCTTGGGTTGGTGAGCCGAGTTGCGACGCAACCAGCTCGTGAAACACGATCGCTTCATGCATCCAGCAGCAAGAAAGTCCCAGCACTCCATGATACATCCGGGGATAAATACGTTGTTTGCGTCTCGAGAAAGCAATGCTGCGTAGGCATAGACTTGGCCAGGAGGGAGGACCCTGGGGATAGAGGCATCAAGTGAAACTTAGCAGACAACCTGATTACTTACACCGTTTGGCCAGGTGAGAGAACAAAAGAGCCAAAACGATAGGGTGCCTCGTAGAGGTATGAAAAATCCAGGTTGTGGGGCGCGTCCGTGCCGTTGAAATAGCTCATGATAAATTGGTCTTCTTTTAGGATCGGAATAAAGAAAACAGCACAACCACTAGCACAGTGAATGCAAGTGCCAACGCCGCTTGGACACTGGTGAGGGGGGTGTATAGAGCCAGCGGCTGCAATAATCGGATATCGCCAGCTTTGGTCAGGGACGCGGTCTCGAGGAAAATCTGCCAGTGCCAGTGCCACCTCACGAGTATTAAGGAGCCTGTAATGATGTGAGACACGTGGTTGAGAAAACGAACAAACATACTTCTCTAACGGCTGCCAGCAACCAGTGGTGGGCTGGGTAAAGATCAATGGCCTGGATCGTTGCCAATCATATATCTCGTTCAAAGCACCCGCGGTCATTTGTAGGATCCGGGGGTGGTCGGTCTATGGAATATGGTCAGAATCTAAAAATAGGTCGGTGGGCGGGGTGGGAGAGTGAGAGACGAAACTTGCCGAGACACTGAACCTTGGACTGAAAATTAATGAAGCTATGTGCGAGAAACGGGACCTGCCCTAGTCGGTCCACCAAGACGATCGGGGTACCGTCGTTGACCATACCCTGGAACCGCTGTACGTCCATCGCTAACGCTTGCTGTGTTGTCATCAAAACAGGCTTCCAATACTTGGAATCATGCTGGGGCGATTCCAAGAAGTGCCTCAACTTTTGTAGGGAGGGCTGCAATGGGGTTAGTTGTCAGTGTGGGAGGGGTGAGAAGCGACTCACAGAATGTTCGCAATACGGAAAGAAGAAGGTCTCCATCCGGGAAGTTTGCCCTTCATCGACAAAGATGACAGGCAAGTCTACGGAATGGAGGAGCTGTGGAGAAGCTGTCAGCGTCGTTTGGCTTCGAACGTATACTGAACCTACCTTTGGCCTCGCATCTGGATTGAGCTCTGGAACGTCCAGCGTTTTGTCTACACTGGTGACGTGGGGCCACGTCTTGCAGGTTTCTAAAGAATATATAGATATAGAGGCTACCGTTCCTTCGGTCTCGTAAACTTCTTGGATGTGTCCAGCTCCCGATGTAACCCGTTTCCGCGCGCGTTTCCTGTTCCCTAGTTGACGGTCGTATCGTCCTCCACGACCGCGTTTCTGACCAGCGGATGAGGGCACCTGGGTGAAGGGCGAGTTTTGTTGGGGCCCCTTGGGACCAAGAGTAAACTCTTCATCCCTATCATCCGGAGCGTTGGGGGCCGACTGAGGGCAAATGGTCGATGGTGTGGTGATGGGGAGTGGGCAACTGTCGGGGTTGGGGCAAAGCCTGAGATTTCGGCAGCTGCGGGGGATTGAGCTGTGGAGGGATGCAGACCCGAGACTTGCTCTGAGAAGGGTGGAGCGGATCCAGTCCCGACGTCCCTGGGGTCTGGGCCAATGGCGCGGATACATGGCAGAACCATGGTCCACGCGGCGTGGAATCTGTCAAGGTCGTGTTGCGAAATCTGGCCTGCCCGCGAAACGGAAAATATGAGATTAAACAGGGCATTTTCGAGCACCTTCCGAGGGCCGTTCGATTGCCTGAGGCCCCCGTGCAAGACAGCATGCGACACCATGGCGGTGATGGAAGGGAGAATTGATGGGCTGGTGAGAGTGGTATCGAAGAGTAGGACAAGTGGCGATATTAGGAGTGTCATAATGAAGGGGCTGGCAAAGGAGTAACTGCCGGATCGTCAGCGTGGCCTACGTAGGATAAAATGGCTTACCGTTCATTGGAAGCGTGCAGACACTGCTCCTATGATGTAAAGCCTGATCGTCAGGTAAAGGGAAGAAGCGACGAGCTCGACCGCACTCACAAAAAACTCCTCGGGTCCTAACTCGCTCATCTGCTTCAGAGCGGCGGCACAATAGTAGATGTGACTCATCATACGGAGCCGCTGGGACGTGGTTTCTAACCGTGATGCGCGGTCGATGAGCTCTCGTGCGGTGGTAGCCGTGTTACCAGGGGGAGAGGACTGGGAAGTGATCTCAAGACAACGAGGTAGCCGCTCACGTAATGCAACCAGGCGTTCTGGTATCTTGCTCGACCAGTACGGGACTGTCCGCCTGTCCCCATGATGGTGCGGAGAAATGTCCAGTGGCATGAGGTCTGTTGCCGCGCCCGGGGAGTGCTGGTCCATCGCCCAATGGGCGCGAACTACGAGAATAGAGGAGGTAATCAAGGGGAAGATGTCTCTGGCTATTTTCCGTTTGAATGTTGGGGGCGATGCGAATGGGCACAGGTGAATGTCTGACCTCGTGCCCTTCCTCCAGGCATCGAATCCCTGGAGGTTTTGCATGAGGAGTTGCAAGATCGACCCACTGGGAGGTCGAAACTCCTTGAGGGCATCATGAACCAGATTGACGAAAGCTCCAAACTCTTGGGGCATGCATTCCAACCCAGGGTCGTTCTTCGTAACAGGGTTGGAATGATTGGCCATTTTCGTTGGAGAATGCGCCAATTCAAATTTGATTACTTGTATGCAACATAACAATATAACTGGTGATCACCGCCTGATGCGGCATAACCCGCCACTCTTTTCACTCGCTAAGAGATGTCTTTGGATGGGTACAACAGAGAGGTGACATAACCAAATAACAGCACAATCCAAGCACAGCCTCCCTTTTGGGGGGCCTGTTCACTTATCAACGAGAGCCACTTTCTCGCACTACCTATTCACGATCACTAAGGTTCCATGCCTCAGGAATGAGTCATTCTCACCAGAGAATGCACACCACTACTACCTCCGTGATCCCTTCTTCTCCACGGATGACAATCTCCGACGGATTCTATGCAGACACCCTAGTCAGTCAGACCAATGTATTACCAACTCAATCTCACCAAAACGATGTGGCAATGACAAAGACCACGATTTTGTGGCTCCATTTGAACAAACATATGAGACTGTTGACTGTTGTGCAAGGGTGGAGATGCATGGAAGAATGTGCCCCTGGCTTGAAGTATATAAGCCATCTATGTCTCCCTGGGTTCCAATGATGGAGCTCCAGACCCTCTCAATTAGGCAAGCAACATAAGGGCATACTTCATATCAGAGACACCGATGAAATCCCATATGGTCAGCCACATAAGGGCATCAGGGGTTCAATGATAGAAGCCATGGTATGGATGACAACTCCTTCATGCACGTTTGCACCAGCCCATTCCCCCCCACTCAAAACCTAGGATTACCTGCAGATGACTGATTTCTTGCATGGACTCTCGTGAGCGACCTAAACACCTTGTGATGCTGTACACCTTTGTATATTTGATCACTGTGACTTTTCGATGCAGTGGAGAATGGTCACGATTTTACTGATTGCCATGTGTGTGAGAGAACCCGATGCACGAATACCAGGAAGTGAACTGTGGCCCCACACAAACATCAAATGCCACAGCCATTCAAATCAACCGCGAAACACAAACAGAGAAAGTGTCAGAGACCAGGTCGAGACGAGGGAATGTCTCTGTGGCGGAGGGCTTCAGCCTCAGCGACTTATGCCAGGAGCGCTGTGCCAAGTAACACGTCCATGCCCTAACTTACTAAACTGGCAACCAGAACTGAAGGGGGGTAAACTCTAGTCGATTTTATTACTGAAGTGTAACCTATGTACAAGTTGAGTATATATAGTTACAACGAGGGTGGGCCTGCAAATGGCGGAGCAGAGCTAATGGGGTTTAAACATTAGCCGATTGAATATTACCGACAAGTCAGGTTATGGGGTTAGTGGAATGGTGGGTGATAACCCGGAAACGGAAAGGAGGGATAGGCCCGAAGGTGGGCTTGCAGGGCAAGTGAGTGTATTGCCCAGTGGAGGCAGGAGTGCACTAGCAGACATCGGAGCTGTCCAGAAGCCTTCGGGGCTCCGTACTTAGGGAGGCGTAGGTAATATATTGAAAAGAGGGGGTGGTGACCATCGAGGGGTACCGAGGTGATTGCGGAATACGGGAGCTCCGAGGTTAGTGAAGAAGGAGTGGAGGTAGACTGGAGGGATCAGAGGGAGTGGAAGTCAATGGCCGGGGATGGATATGACAGTGTCCCCTTCTTAGGCCTGAACCCTTGAAGGCCCAGAATTAGTAAGGTGAGGGGAGCTGTACTTACAGAAAAGAAAAAATGAAAACAGAAGTGAGGAGTGGAGAGAAAGGGAGAGATGGAAGGGGAGTCGGGGTTCCTAAGGAGCTTCGGGTCCAGGCTTATCTGGGTACCGAGAGTGGAACGCTTCGACGAGGTCAGAGGTGTGATCGAGTTCGCCGGCAAGGAGCCATTGTGTCTCCTCGTCGGTCCCTTCATAGCCTAGCCACTTGACCAGGTAGAGCAACTTGTTGCGTCTACATCGGTCGATCTTGGAGTCGAGTATCTCTTCGATCTCAAACTCCATCTCGCCTTCAATTTCTATGGGAGGCAGAGGTGGCTGGTGGTGGTTTGGAATGACATTCAGGATGGAGGGTTCGATCTGCAAGACATGGAATACTGGGTGAATGGCTCGCATGTTTTCCAGCAGGTGGAGAGTGAGGGAGTGGGTTCCAACATGGGCAATGATCTTGAATGGGCCGAGGTTTTTCTTGGAGAGCTTTTTGGAAGGTCGGGTGGAGCGGAAGTACTTGGCCTTTACATAGACCGAGGTCCCTACCTCGAAAGCTGGGGCAGGACTCCGATGGGAGTCTGCTGGGCCCTGATAACAGATCTGAGTGAGGTGCATTTCCTTGTGAAGGAAGTGATGGAGGGAGTTGAGATCTACAGAGTACTCCTGGGCACGTACTGATGTTAGGTCTTGCTCCAGGTGAACGGTGATGTTCGGATGGTAGCCTTTGTTGGCGAAGTGTCACAGCCGTGCATTCCGGCCTGTTAGCCGCCCGTCCCGATGCCGCCCGAGCCCATTCCCGCTATGCGAGCGCGAGCGCGAGCCCTGACCTCAGCCCTATCCTCCCTGAGGACTCCCTGCTCACTTCCCCGCTTGCCCCTAGGCTCCCCTACACTTGGCCGACTCCCCCACTGCTGCACCAACCTCCCCACCCTGAGTCCGCCTCCGGCACCGTGCCCAGCGCAACTCCCCTACCCTGCCCACTTGGCCCCTACAGGGCCGCTATCATCCCCGCGCCCGACTCCGGCCCAACTCCGAGTCCAGCACCGCTATGATACCATCGCCGCTATTGCGGCCCTACACTCTTTCCTTTATTTATCTGTTATTGTTTGTTTTGACCTTCGGTCATTGCCAGCCGCTATGTGGCCAACCCCGCTCCTTATTCTTGTTTGCTTCCGGACCCTTCGGCCTCCGGCCCGGGTCCGCTTCCATTCATTTCTTCCTCCTATATATATCCTGTATGATACTTTATTGTACCTTAGCTCTAATATTGATGTGACCATGACCCCTAAGTCCTGACCCCAACAAGGCAACCCCAGTGAGTCTGAAATGAGGGCCAAGAGACAGCTAGGAGGCACAGCACTCCCTTTAGAGTTGCTGAGGCCGAATGCCCTACCCTCGGGCATTGTTTGAGGCATCGTGGCCATCGTGGCCATCGCAGCCTATAGCGGCCCACTAATGGCGACCTTTGGTGCCGACCCCGGACCAGTGTCTAACACGAAGAATGGAGAGATGCCTGTGGTGGCATTCGGAGCGTTGTTGTATGCAAACTCTGCGAGAGGTAGGAGTTTGGACCAATTGTCCTGCTGGTAGTTACTGTAGATGCACAGGTACTGCTCAAGCATCTGGTTCATCTGTTCGGTCTGACCGTCTCCTTCCAGATGATAACCGGAGGTGAAGTGGAGGCGGATGTTGAGGGCCTTACCAAGTGAACGGAAAAAATGAGAGACAAACTCCGGACCCCTGTCGGAGGTGATGTGGGAAGGAACTCCATGCTTGGAGAACACATGGAGGAGGAAGAGCTTGGCCAGTTCCAGAGAAGTGATGGTATCGTGAGCAGGAATGAAAATGCACTGTTTAGACAGGTGGTCCACGACCACCAAGATGGAAGTGAATCCGGAAGAGGAGGGTAGCTGTTCGATGAAATCCATGGAGATGGAGTTCCAAGGATGTTTGGGGATGGGGAGTTGTTTGAGCAAGCTGTAAGGCTTATGATGGGGGACTTTGGCTCGGGCACAAGAAGTGCAGGAGGACACATAACTCTTGACAAAGTTACGGATGCTCGGCCAGGTGTACTCACGATGTACTAGATCCAGAGTCCGGTTTTGACCGAAGCGTCCGGAAAGTTGGTGGTCATGTTTGTCTTGCAAAACATGGAGATGGAGATCGTTGGAATCCGGAACGTGGGTGCGGTTGTCCAGCCTTAACAGGCCTTCGGCATCAACGGACCAGTGGGAATTGGGGAGGTTGGGGGAAGCGAGATGAGAAGAGATTGTGGTATCGGAGGAGAGGGAGGCTAGAATGTCTCGATGGAGAGCCTCTGTGTCGACAAGTACGGCTGCTTGGATTACTGTGGCAGCTAGGAACGTGGCTCGTAAGGACGCAGTGAGCTGCTCCGAAGTGAAGACCAGTCGGAAGTTTTGCAGGTTGACGCGAGCGTAGTCCATATCCCCTTCTTTGGGATAGACGTCCCAGCGTCTAGTCAATGCATCTGGTTTTACTCCGAGTCTTCCGGGACGGAATCGGACAGTCATGTGGAACTGGGACAGGAACTCTGACCAGCGAGCTTGCCACCGGGTCAAGAGTTTGGTGGTGGAAAAATACTTGAGGTTCTTGTGGTCGGTAACGACATCGATTGGAGTTCCTGAACCTTCAAGGTAGTGACGCCACAATCGGAACGCATCATGGATGGTGAGCAGTTCCGTATCATGGGTGTTGTAGTTGAGCTCCGGCGCCGAGAGTGTTCTAGAGCGGAAAGCGACAGGGCAAATCTCTCCATCATCACAACGGATGGACAGGATTCTGGAGATTGCATAGTCGGAGGCGTCAGTTTCTACAATGAGGGGGGCATTGGGTAACCAATGTGTCAGGATAGGAGCAGAAGTGAAGGCTTCTTTCAAGGTGTTGAAAGCAGAGTGACAGTTGTCAGAGAATAACCAGGGGGCTCCTTTACGTGTAAGGCACGTCAAGGGGACCACAATGTCGGAGTATTGGTGGATGAAATGCCAATAGAAGTTAGCAAAGCCAAGGAAGGACTGGACATCCTTGACTTTACAGGGCTCGGGCCAATCTTGGATGGCTTTAACCTTCTCGACAGACACGGTGAGTCCGGAGGGGGAAAGGCAGTATCCGAGATATTCCATAGTGTCTGTATGAAATTCGCATTTCTTCAGATTGGCGTATAGGCCATGTTTGCGGAGTCTCCTAAGAACTTCTCGGACATGCTCCTGATGTGAAGCCATGTCTTCCGAGTAGGTAAGGATGTTGTTTAGGTAGACTACCACAGAAACATCCAAGAGGTCGGCAAAGATTGTGTTGACGAATCGCTGGAAGGCCGCAGGTGCATTCATGAGACCAAATGGCATGACAAGCCACTCATAGGAACCATAATGCATGCAGAAGGAAGTCTTCCATTTGTCGCCTGCTGCAATGCGAACCAGGTGGTAAGCATGCCGGAGGTCGAGTCTGGTGTAGACTGTGGCATGGCTAGGTGC